AGTTATCAATTTTCCAGACTTTATCACTACTTTTGAGATTAACAAAACATATTGCATAGAGCACAACATTCTACACATCCTATCAATGAACATTTAAATATGATGGGTGCCACGTGTGTCAATTGAGGAGCAGGATCTTCTTACCCTTCCGGAGCACCTGAGATCACCCCCAGTTTTTCGTGTGGTTCGTGTCGTTCAGTTTTTAGTTTTCTATGTAGTGTTTTGTATACTGTTGTTAGTCTTTTTGGTCTTTTTCTTTTGTTTTGCAATAGTGTAGTCAGTTTTTTTTTTTTACTTATGAGTTTGAATGTTCCTTTGGATTTGGTATTAAAAGTAAAATAACAAAAATACCGAACTCCAAGGAAAATTCAAAACGGAAAGTCCCTTATCAAATGGCAAAATTATAAGCTCAAACACATCAAACGAATGGAAAACAACTGTCATATTCCTGACTTGGTTAACAGGCATTTCCTTATGTAGAAAATGGTGGATTAAACCTGGTTTTATAGCTAGTATCTTTCGCCTCTCTTTTAAATATCAGATATTCAAGTTGCAAAATGATGGGTTTGTGTTTAACGGTTAACCAGACTTGTCAAGAAAATTACATTCATTGTTCATGGTGAATAAATTTATTATCTGTTCTTAAAATATCAATGATGTCATTTATTAAAAAGTAAAATCACAAAAATACTGAACTCCGAGGAAAATTCAATCGGAAAGTCCCTAATCACATGGCAAAATCAAATGACAAAACACATCAAACGAATGGACAACAACTGTCATTAAGTTATATTTAAAATAGGAGTCATCTTTCTTTTGTTGATAATCATGGTTAGAATATAGTATTGTCTACAATGCAATATTTTATTCTCGAGATTTTATTATAAGTTCCAACTGAAAAATGAATGCAATCTTTATCCTTCAGTGCTCACAAGCTCTTATAAAACACATTATATTTGAAGTACAGAAAGCTGTAGCAAAGATTCACAAAATACCTTTTCCACTTGAAAAAAAAAATTACTTACAACAACAGTAAACTGAAATCAGGTAAGCTCATTTTGGGAGACCTTAAACCGGAGATTACTATAATACATGTGTTATAGTATTCTCAGCATAAACCAACCAAATAATCTGGCATTTTGAATTGTGTTATTGTTTTGCACCTTTGGCATGAGAAATATGCTTGGTGCCACATGTGGAGAAAGATCTGCTTACCATTCCGGAACACCTGAGATCACCCCGGGGTTTTTAATGCGGTTCATGTTGTTCAGTCTTTAGTTTTTATGTTGTTATTTGTATACTGTTGTTGGTCTTTTTATTGTTTGTCTTTTTTTTCAAGGTGTTGTAAGTTTGTTTTCAACTCATCATGAGTTTGAATGTCCCTTTAGTATAATTTGTTTCTAGTTAAGAATATATTTTTCTTTTTAAAATCAGTTAACAGAAATACAAAAAAATAAAACCGTCCCTCCTTGAAATGTAGTTTCATCCATTTCCATAGCCTTATTCTATAAATCCTTTGATCCAATTCCTCACAAAACTTTACGTTTTAAGTCACGCAAAAGAACGAGGTCCGCGTCTCGATCATTCTATATGTTGTATTGTTGAATATTAATTTTCCCAAAAATTTAACAAATACATGTGTGATAACCTACTTTGATAACTTGGATCAGTCAATGGACAAGGCGTTTGGTTCTGAACACAGTTTTAATATTAGATAAATACGTCATCAGACTTTCTAGTATAAAAAGATTTTAACTATTGTTTAAATATTCGATGTCGACTAATGGGGCGTCAGACTATTGGGGTATCGGACAAATGCGGTGTCGGACTAATTGGGTGTCGGAATATCGGTATGCTCTCTGGTCGGTTTGTTGTCTCTTTGACACATTCCCCGTTTCCGGCATTCTCAATTTTATGTAGATAACTTTCTAAAACAAGTTCTTTGACTACGGCTTTATATAACTTTATAAAAGATTTAGGGACTAATGCCTGTGGTAGTAGATCTAGGTTGCTTGGAAACAAGATATGATCTGCAAACTTGTTTTAAGATAAATTATTATCTCAACAGAATTGTTTTTGATAATTTTCCTCCGATGTGCAAAGGGAGGGGGTAAATATTTTTTTTCGATTCAGCCATGCTGGATCTATGTGATCACTCCGGATTTTGATATGGTGCAGCATTTTAAGTTGAAGACATATCATGAAACTAATTACGTGTTTTTAAGACTTGCAGAAACTTGATACACTATTTTAATCATCTACTGCCAACTTTCAACATGTTATTTTCCCTTAAAATAAGAAAATATTGGTCGAACAGCTACTCTATGTTAGATATACACTTGCATATAGGTCCTTAGTAAATCAAAATTTATAATAAATTACTATTTATGAATTAATGTGAAAAAGTATTATATCAAGTTTAATCAGTTGATACAATTATGAATGTATTTTATCAGTATCTAATGATTGCGTAATTATAAGTTATTGAATAAAATTTGGTACAAGATGTGTATTGATATCAAAGTTGATTCCCACACTTTTTTGAAATGCTATTATTCTAATTATTTCATTAGGCAAATAAGAGGACTGATAGAATACAGTAGGACAGTCAATCATAATTATTTACAAACAATTTCACTCAAAGGTGGAAGTATTTATTGGAATCAACTCCACTGTAATGCCAATCTGAATTGACCACAGCTGATATCGCTTGTGTTACATACTCAACAAATACACACTTTATTACACAGCTAACTTAGTACACTTGACCTCATTAGCATACATAGAATTACGTTTGATCTACACTACATAATTGATTTGATTTGATGATGTACATTATGTCTCAAATCTGACTGATTAAGGATTACAAAGATGAATTATTTTGCAAAGAAAAAAAAAACCACAAAACAATCATGATTTCAAATGCAAGCAGTGTCTATTTTACTTGTAAAATCAGTGTTATAATCATTTGATATTATTCAATAATATAGGTTCATTTAAGTTACAATCATAATTATTTTGCTGGAAACATTAAACATTTAACAAATATGCATAACTCTAACCTGTGCATTTATTTGTTAGTTACCCATTATTTTACTATTTAAAAGTGTATAAGGTATTTGTACATGTATTTGAATACAGGATTATTTTCAATGAAGAAAGAACACTAATTAAAATCAAAATTAGTTATTTAATTTTTGTTGCTAAAAAATTGCATTAACAATTATGTCGGTTTTAAAAGCTCTAAAGAGCTTATGTTTGTTGTATTTTTGTTTTACCAACTTTAAGTAATTTTATTTGTTTTGATTTGAATGCCTCTTTCTGGAAATTATTACGTCTAAATTCAATGAAAAATATACTACACCTTACTTTGAATATTTCTATTTCAAATCATGTAACACTCATTTAATTGAAAAAAAAAGAAGATATTAAGAATCAGTACTCTTCTAAAAATACCAAAAGAGTTTGTATCAATATTAAGATATTCTTCAACTTTGGTCAACTGAATACAATTTTTTAGTAGTATCATGAAATATAATTTTATCTTATCAAAAATCAAGAAATGATCCTAAGATGAGTTAGAAAAATTGCATACTAATGGTTAAAGATAGAAATATTTCCAAAAGCAACCATTTACAAGTAAATTTAGGGAGTCAAGCTTGTTTTATTTACCGAAAAAAAATATCTTTATGAATTTAATGGAAGAGTGATATATCATGATCAAGTTTTTTTGTCCACCACGATACCTGAGAATATATTTTGAAATTATGCACACATTTCTTCCAGTCTTTCCATCAGCGATTTCGCTTACTTTGATTGTCAGAAGTACCTTAGAAGAAGTAAATTTTTTTTCTGAGAATTTCCTGAGCAGAAATGATAATTTTAAAAAGGAATAATAACACTGGTAATTATTTTAGTGAAATAATTAAGAAAATGATGACACATTCTTCAGTTGCTTGGTTTCTTCTCTATTAAAACAAGTTTAAGCATTTTGGGCTGAAATCACTTATCCAACCATCTTGTTTTCACGTTCCTCTTCTAGTTTTTTACGAAGTCATCTGTATGTAACATGCGTTACTTTGAACTATAGCTGTCAGTAACTGTGAGTAATCTCGGATCTGTACTTTGTGTCTGTTTTGTTGTAAGGGGTGTATAAATTCCCTGTCACATTCTGCCTGTGTTTTTGTTAGTTGTTTTTCTGCTTTGTATCGATCTGATTAGTTGAACCTTTTTCAACTGATTTTTATAGTTTGTTCTCATGTTATACTGTTACTCCAATGTCCCAGGTATGAGGGAGGGTTTTGCGCAAGCAAACATGTTCAACCCTACCTGTAGTTCAGTTTTTTTTTAATTGAATTGTTTTAAATTTTTCATGTTGGGGCCTTTTATAGCCGACTATACGGTATGTTTTTTTTCTAATTGTTGAAGGCCGTAATATATGTTTTTCATTGAAGAACTATCAGAATGTTAATGTTTTATATCGAAGAACTATCGGATGTAAATGTTTTACATCGGAGAACTATCGATATGTATAATTGTTTTGCATCGAATAACTATCGGACTGTATGTGTTTTAGATCTAGGAACTATCGATATGTATAGTTGTTTTACATCGGAGAACTATCGATAACGAGTGAGAATCGGGTATCGCATGATATTAACTCGAGTTATCTATTTTGAATAATAATAATAAACTCGCCGAATGCTCGTTTATTGTTAATTTAAATTGAATAACTCGAGCTTTCGGTGCATTTATTATTACTATTTAAATTAAATGACGATAGTTGATATCAAGCGATATCCAATTCACACGAGTTCAACCTGTTTCTCATATAATTTGTATATCATTGCAGAAATCACATATAGCCGTTGCAATGGACGAAATGTACATCGTCTTTACCTTTGAAAGTTATCATTGACTTAACGAATAACCAATGGAAATGCCGTAATATTGTCTCATGATGCTGGATAAGCTAAAAAAAAAATAACGCAGTTTTCGTATCACTTTTTGTATCACACTCCGTGCAGTGTGATACGAGAATTATCGTTGCATGCTAGAAGTAGATAACAGGCCACAACCATAAGATAATATTATTTACATTAGCGTATAGTCAGAGACATTATTGTGATGACAAGATGGTATTATTTACATCATCGTAAAGTCAATGGCATTATTGAGATGACAACTTAGTATTATTTACATTAGCGTATAGTCAATGACATTATTGTGATGACAACATAGTATTATTTACATCAGCGTATAGTCAGTGACATTATTGGGATGACAACATAGTATTATTTTCATCAGCGTATAGTCAGTGACATTATTGGGATGACAACATAGTATTATTTACATCAGCGTATAGTCAGTGACATTATTGGGATGACAACATAGTATTATTTACATCAGCGTATAGTCAGTGACATTTTTGGGATGACCACATAGTATTAGTTACATCAGTGTATAGTCAGTGACATGATTGGGATGACAACTTAGTATTATTTTCATCAGCGTATAGTCAGTGACATTATTGTAATGACAAGATGGTATTATTTACATCAGCGTATAGTCAATGACATTATTGTGATGATAACATAGTATTATTTCTTCAGCGTAAAGTCAGTGACATTCTTGTGATGACAACATAGTATTATTAACATTAGCGTATAGTCAATGACATTATTGTGATGACAAGATGGTATTATTTACATCAGCAAATGGTCAGTTATATTATTCAGTGACATTTTTTCTTTTTCTTGTTTTAAAGTGCTGCTACTTGTGATGCCCTAACTCTAGCTTTTGAAATTCTCTCAGTTTTTCTTTTTTCATAATAATTACTTTTACGTTTCCATTCTTCAACACGTTCTTTCTTCTGTCGTTTGAAAAAGCCACACTGTAAGAAAATAGCATAAAATTAGTATGATCATGTAAATTATACCCATAATCTATACATACTACTTAGGGAATTATAGGAAATTTTGTTATATTAAGAGAAGAGAAGTGAACATTTCCGTGGTATGAATATATTCTATATAGTTAGATAAAAATATAAATTTGGGACACTGTATGAGAATACACAGCACATTTTTTATTAAATTATACAAATAGCTCAACCGACTATCAAAATATGGCGTATATTCAATCAACACAACAACATTCAAAAACTGTATTGCAATAGTTGAAGGTCTTGATGACAATTAGAATTTCGGCAATCGTATTTAAGTAAAATCATGTACCAAGAAAGATTCTTTATAACGTACATGTATTGAAAAAGAAACACCTAAGGTACCCCTTACAGATGCGAGATGTTTGATGCAGATCTACAGCAGACCTGCTGCAGGTTTGCAGGAACGTTTTAAATAATGTTTGGAGATGTTTTCAGCTAGCTTCAAACCTCCTGCAAACATTGCTGCTTTTTGCTGCAAGCTTGCGGCAAGTTTGCAGAAACATTTTGTTTGCAGTAAGATTGCAGGAAAAACTAGAATGTAAGAAATGTTCGCGGCTAGATTGCAGAAATCTTTGAACATTCTATATGTTTGCAAGAGCAAGAAATGACTGAGCATGCATATTGGTTACTTCCTGGGAGTTAAAGATTTGGAATTCTGTGCTTAATTATGTTGATGGTGTTTGAGTCATGTCATATATTAGTATTCAGGGTGGCATTTTAGGTTTAATAATAATTGATTAGTTTACAACGACATTATTTGTAAGTAAAAATTCTTCATAGAACTTTAAACTTCACAAATACCTTCAGGTTTCTAGAAAATTTACAAACATACTACAAATATACAGTACTCTCTAATATGTTAATATTGTAACTTATTAAATATCAGGTTTCAATAAGTTAAGTTGAATTTTGTAATGAAATGGATTTTACTAGCTGCATGCACAAAAAACATTCAAATATATTCCTATTTCTTATTTCTTAAAAGGTATTTACTTATGCTAAGATAATTTTGCATATGTTGAAGTATTTGAATGGTTGTATGTATGTATGTAACCTAACTTTTTCAGAATTTGCTGTGTAATTGCATAATGTGATATCTAGACAACATTTGGTTTATTGTAATTTATGTAGTTCCTGCAAGTTTGGAGCAAACAAGTAGGAGAAAGATTAATTTGCATATAAATGTTTGCCGCAAGTCTGCAGCAAACACTGATTTGCAATTGTTTGCAGCAGACCTGCAGCACATTTGCAGCAAACATGCTGCAAATACAGGCTTGCATCAAATATTTGCGGGAGGCTGATTTTTTCAGTAAGAGACTGCGTAGTAATATGTAATATAACCATAAACGAAAAGCACTGCGCGAATTAGAACTACACCTTTTCATTGATCCCATTTGCAATTGGTGCCAAAGTTTTTAATTTTCTTATCCAAAATCTTTCCCGAGATAGTCTATCCTCCCTAGACCAAGCAGTTTTGTAGTCTATGATTGTAATGTCGATTGAGATCTGTCTTAGTGTGGCCAGGGGATCTCAAATACGGACCGAGAGGAAGGGCTGGCTTGCATTCATAGTCGCTACGATGGCTGTTCATACGTTTGTGAAATGGCGGTTCTGACTCGCCAACATACTGTTTACCGCATCTACACTGTAGGAGATACACAGCATTTGGAGTCTTGCAATTAACATTGCAAAATATGGTGTATTCCGTACCAGTGGAGTGACTGTTAAAAGTTTGGGTATTCAGTAATTTGCTTGCAAGTCAGACATCGTTTGTTTTAATATTGGTGTTGTTTTGTTCAGTTTTAAGGCGTTTATATAAATGATTTATTGTGTACAGGTATCGTTACTCGTAACGATCCAGCGCCCGAGTAAGAAAGATCGTTGCCTAATATCTAGACGTATTATATTTAGTTAGAGGAGGGGATAAGGCGTCTGCGCAATGCTAGGCGGTGTTGTCGCAGAAGTGAGAAGTGAAAAGTACAGGTTCCATGTGTATAAAATACCCCTTCCCGACAAAAGTACCTGTATAAAATATATGAAGTCTTATTATTTTCCCCTTTGGAAGTTGACCTTAGAAGTAGACCGTTTTGTCATCAGAACTTCACTGTACCTAGTCCGAATAATTGAAACGTCTTGAAAGGCTATTTTAATTTTTTGCTGTGATGCCTTTCTGCGCAAAAATTAGACGTCTTAACTATTGAGACTACACTGTACAGTGATGGACGTTGGCCTGATATTAAGGAATTCGACACATGTTTACATTAACCCACCCCTCCGCCAGACCCAGGATAAATCAACATTAAAAATAATCGAAAATGAGTCGTTTGAAGATACCTATTTTCGCATTTTTTTTATACTTTTGAATTATATCAGTTGTTTACTACAAAAAGAAACATACGCGATCCCTCCTATACACGTTATTGTAACGTAATATTTGTAATGGCTCTGCACAATCACGAAAGTTTGTTTGTTGATATAGCGTAACTTAGTTAAATCACTACGTGTGCATTTTATACATAACAAATCGCTAATGATTCGGCTATTTATAGATTATCGTGTAATATTATTATCCGGTTTAACCATATGCATAACTGTAATTTTATTGAAGTTTTGTAACTCAGGAACTGATCTTATACACATCGACAAGGTAATTATGAATACGAAAGTTAGAACAATATTTATATCTGATGCAAACACAATTGAATAATAAAGACAGAACATTTAAATCACTTTTGCGTTTGACCTTGTGACATTAAAATATCGATTCAACACTTCACTGTCAACTTGAATGAACACTTTACTATCATTTTCATGACCTACTATCATTATTTCTTTCCGGCCTCACTTACGGATACGCTCTCATATAATAGATGCACCCCAATATTACCGAATCAGACGGTAAGAAAGCTCTTACTTCATACGGAATGGGCTAATATTACCTATGAGAATCCATTAACAGATTTACCCCATTGTGACGTGAAGCGTATAACTAATAAGACCGGGTCTCAAGTGATCCGTTAATTACCAATAATTAACAAGTTCCGGGTCGAATCCGATACCGATAGCAATAATACCTGTTCCTGTTACCTAATCTGTACGTTCCGCCTCTGTCATGTGCACCACCAAACGGTGTGTTTGGGATTTGCTATATAAACAGGTCATAATCACACAAGAACTTCGTCTTTATACAGGGATTGGCACTACTAAATTCAATCTTTGACAAAAACAAATGTATATACAAGTAGTTTCCGGATGTAGTAATAAAACTAGAACGGATTCAAACAGAAAGATTTTGAAAGCAGAGAAAACTGTGCACCTTATAATCAGCATGACTCTATCAAATTACAATACGAATACTTAAACTCAAAGTTGAAAATAAGGCGTAGGTACTTTAATTCAGTCACGGATCCGCGGTGTGTTCTAGTATATATATATACTTTTTGGTCTTTTGAAAAATGTTGTCTGTGCTGTATTTAGACCCATCTACCAAACAATTTGTTTTGTATGCACACGTAAAAAATTGTGGTTTTTATCCAACGCAATCATAGGTTTGAATGTTGTTTTCAATTTAGACTTGTTTATAAATATATACTCAGCCTTGAGTTTAAGTATTCGTATTGTAAAGGGGAAAATAATAAGACTTCATACATTTGATACAGGTAACTTTTTTCGGGAAGGGGTATTTTATACACATAAGCGTCGTAATAGGTCCGTTTTGAAAGCAAGTAAACATGTTTGTAAAAATATTTAAAGCGTTGCCAGATACATTTGTGTAGATAAAAGGAGATGTATGTAAATAAGGTCAACACTCGGATTTCTTCAATGGATACATGTCTTTACAATATTTCAAGCACTAAATTTTCAAAAAAATAAATAATTGTGGATAATGTTTTAAATTTCAAAAATATGCAATCAACACAAACTTCCCTTAAATAGCAAAATTAAATATAAAAATTTAGGAGACCTCAAGGCAACGAACAGGAACAAATTCCGCTTGCTAACATCCGAGAAAACAATAATCACAGTTTCATATACATGTTTGTATTATAATGTTCTGACAACATTGGTATGTAGTTGATCTTTGATCAATGCATGTGAACAGTGCTGGCAAATGTTCAAAACCATAGTTTTAGTATATGTTTTGCAACGGTCCAGAAAATTAGCCAGTCAGATATTTATCACATAAAATAAGAAGATATGGTATGATTACCAATGAGGTAACTATCCACCAGAGACAAAACGACATAGATGTTAGCATATATACGTCACCCTACATTATTTAACAATGAGAAATATTCATTCTGCATTGTAAGCTATAAATAGATCCGACATGACAAATGAAAAAAGTTAATACGACATAACATCATATCATTATTTATCTACAAAACAATTATAGATAACAAAAAGAAGGTATAACTTTTCTCAAACAGAGAGTAAATAATGTCATGTCTGCTGAAATATTGATGAAAATTTATTGAAATAAGTACAGGCAAAATCTCAAGTGATTTAGAAAATAAACCATTCCAGGAGTTAAAAAGGACAAAACACAAAATTAAAATTGTAACCATTAAAATTCTATATTGGCGTTTCCTCTAATCCATTTTTTCCCCACCCTATCACAATTTATATGTAGAGCAATATTCTGAATGGATGAAAATACAAAGCAAAAACACAATTTTCAACATAAGCTAAAAACCGGCAAGATTTTTGGAAAAGCAATTACTTGTATCAAAATTAACATACTCTTTTACATTAAGTTAAAAACTAGGTTCATGGCGCGCGGAAGTAGACAGTATTATTTTTTAGGGGTAGACAGGATACACATAATTGTTCGTAGTAACAACTTCAAGGCTCTTATGCAAGCAAATTTGATAACCGATGATTCAATTCAGGTGTTTATTGGTTTTCACTTTACAAAAGGCTTTATCTTTGATCTGATTTTTTTGTGCAAAATATTCTGAATCTATGTCTTACACCTTTATCAATGTTAGGAGAACCTGTTTTGGACGATTCCATATACTCAATATATTTTAGGGGTTGACTATATTCACAGTCGAGTTAATGTATATTGTTTAGTCTTGTTTGCGAGAAACAAATCAATTTTCTGATAAAGTACCTAAATTCAAAAACATTATATATATATAAATAAGAAGATGTGGTATGAGTGTCAATGAGACAGCTCTCCATCCAAGTCACAATGTATAAAAAGTAAACAATTATAGGTCGAAGTAAGGCCTTCAACAAATTCGATCTCGTTAATTTAGTAGTATAGATATATATTCGCTTTGAATAGCAACATGAATTTTAAGAATGTCAACATCTTTTTGTAATTTTAAAGTATTGTTAAATACAATGACGTAAACACTTCCGTGTGTTTAAGATCCTTCATATGATAGATAATTTGCTGCGGACAGCACTTATAGAACTTATTAAACCACATTAATCTTTCCATCCGGATGTAATTGAAAGGAGAAAGTATGATTTGGGCTTATTTGTTTCTGTAAATTGACCGAAATCAAATCCATCGTGTTATGTCTTTTGGTTTGTTTGATGTGTCTTTGGGTAGCTGTTTCAGTGATTTATCCCTCTCCATCGTGTTATGTTTTTTGGTTTGTTTGGTGTGTCTTTGGGTAGCTGTTTCAGTGATTTACCCCATCCTCCTCGTGTAATTCAAATCGAGCTGTTTATAAGTGACTATCATATTAGAAACATGAAACTAACTGCATTTTGAAGCTTATGGATTTGACAACAAAATTGTTTTAAATAAACTGCAAAGTTGTGGGTAGTATATTTATTTTATTTTTTTTTTGGATTACGTAAATTCCATTTAAATTTAAAATTGATATTTGAACAATTGGGCATAAAGTTGCTTACACCCACTGCATTTATTCTCTAGTGGACAGTTGTTTCATTGAAATCATATCACACCTCCTCTTTTTCAATACGAAGTTATTTCAGTCCGGTTATCAATTCAGTCCTAAAAAGACTTGCTGTTATTACTATACTAACCTTCCTTGGACCTACACCAAGTAAAACATACCCACCTTCCATAGACCTACACCCAGTAAAACAAACCCACCTTCCATAGACCTACACCCAGTAAAATATACCCACCTTCCATAGACCTACACCCAGTAAAATAAACCCACCTTCCATAGACCTACACCCAGTAAAACATACCCACCTTTCATAGACCTACACCCAGTACAACATACCCACCTTCCACAGGCCTACACCCACAAAAATATACCCACCTTCCATAGAACTACACCCAGTAAAACATACCCACCTTCCATAGATCTACACCCAGTAAAGCAAACACACCTTCCATAGACCTACACCCAGTACAACATACCCACCTTCCACAGGCCTACACCCACAAAAATATACCCACCTTCCATAGACCTACAGCCAGTAAAAACATACTCACCTTCTATAGGCCTACACCCAGTAAAACATACTCACCTTCCATTGGCCTACACCCAGTAAAGCATACCCACCTTTCATAGGCCTACACCCAGTAAAATATACCCAAATTCCATAGACCTATACCCTGTAAAACATACCCACCTTCCTTAGACCTACAACCAGTGCAACAAGGAGTATTAATGCACCAACACTGCTACCAATAATAATCCATACATTGATTTGTTTTGACTCTACTGTATCTACTGTGACTTCTGTAGGAAATATTTCACTTGAAACCTGTAAGTGACCACGTAAAACATGTTAAACGTTCTATTATTTGGCTTGTTTTATTGTTTTCCCAAAGCAAGGTTTCCTGTTATGCAGTGGGTGTCATAGGTTGGTGTCTGTTTCATCTGTTTTTAGTTTGTTGTTTTAGCGTCAATCAGGCTGTGGATATTCCCTTTTGAATTGTTGCACAGTTTGTTATGGAAAGCCCTTTATTGATTACTACACAATATGGGTTATGTTCATTGTTAACGGTCTACAGCAGCCAATAATTGTTAATTTCTTCGTCCTTTTAGTCTCTGGTGGAGAGTTGTTTGATTGGTGATCATACTACATTGCATTATTTTTATAGAACGTTAGGAGCAATTATATTGGCATGTTTCTTATGAATTATATTTTAGATATCATTGACAAAATTAATCAAATATATATTTTAAATCTTTGCAGGACTTAAATATCAAACTTACTCAAGTATGAAGAGATCTTTATAGAAATAAATGATAATATATTTAGGCGTATTGAAATAACCTACGAGCAATAGTCATTTGCCTAAAATAGAATGACTTAACAAGCTAGTCGTTTGTCTAAAATATTGATATCAAACAAACAAGAAGTTTATCTAAAATAGTGTGACTAAACAAGCAAGTCGTTTGCATAAAATAGTGCGAGATTTAACACGCAAGTCGTATATTAAAAATTTTGTGATAAAAAAGCAAGTCGTTGGCCTAAAATAGAGTGACTAAACAAGCACGTTGTTGTCTAAAATATATAGTGATTAAACAAGAAATTCGTTAGTCAAAATAGTGTGATTTAACAAGAAAGTCGTTGGTCTAAACATTGTGATCAAACAAGTTAGCCGTTTGCATAAAATAGTATGACTTAACAAGCAAGTTGTTTGTCTCAAATATTGTAATCCAACGAGCAAATCGTTTGCTTAAAATAGTGTGACTAAACAGGCAAGTCTTTTGCCTAAAATAGTGCGACTAAACAAGCAAGTAGTTTTGTCTAAAATAGTGTGACGAAACAAGCACGTCGTTTTTCTAAAATATTGTGATAAAAAAGCAAGTTTTTTGTCTAAAATAGTGCGATGTGCAAGCATGTCGTTTGTCTAAAACATTGTGATAAAAAGGCAAGTTGTTTGCCTAAAATTGTGTCACTTTTAAAAAACAAGCAAGTCATTTGCCTTAAATAGTGATATTCATCAAATAAGTCGTTTGTCTTAAATAGGTGATAAAACAAGCAAGTCGTTTGCCAAAAATAATGTGACTAAACAAGCAAGTTGTTTGTATAAATTATTGTGATCAAACAAATTATTCGTTTGCAAAAAATAGTGTGAATAAACAAATAAGTCGTTTGCCTTAAATATTGCGACTAAGCAAGCTAGTCGTTTTATATAATATTGTGATCCAACAAGCAAGTCGTTTTCCTAAAATAGTGGAACTAAACAAGTTAGTCGTTTCCTCAAATGAATTACATCCATAAATACCCGAACATACTTCTATGCTCGAAAAATTATAAGCGACGATGAATTACATGCATATAAACTCGTACTTACTTCTGTGCTCGAAGAACTGAAAGCGATGATTAATTACATGCATACATACTTGAACTTACTTCTATGCTCGAAGAATTGATAGCGACGATGAATTAAATGCACATATATCCGGACTTACTTATATGCTCAAAGAATTGATAGCGACGATGAATTACATGCATATAAACAATGCTCGAAGAATTGGTAGCGACGATGAATTACATGTATATAAAAAATGCTCGAAGAATTGGTAGCGACGATGGATTACATGCATATAAACAATGCTCGAAGAATTGGTAGCGACGATGAATTACATGCATATAAACAATGCCAAAAGAATTGGTAGCGACGACGAAACACATGCATATAAACAATGCTCGAAGAATTGGTAGCGACGATGAATTCAATGCATACATATCCGGACTTACTTATATGCTCAAAGAATTGATAGCGACGACGAAATACATGCATATAAACAATGCTCGAAGAATTGGTAGCGACGATGAATTACGTGCATATATATACTCGGACTTGCTTCTTTGCTCAAAGATTTTGTAGCGACGATGACTTAATTCTATAGTCGAAGAATTGATATATCCGGACTTACTTCTATGCTCAAAGATTTTGTAGCGACGACGAATTATATGCATATATATACCCGAAATTATTTTTATGCTCAAAGAATTGATTACGACGATAAATTGCATGCATTTACAATTACTTCTTTGCTCAAAGATTTTGTAGCGACGATGAATTACATGCATATATACCCGGACTTACTTCTATGCTCGAAGAATTGATAACGACGATGAACTACGTGCATATATACCCGATCTTACTTCTTTGCTCGAAGAATTGATATTAAATGCATATATATCCGGACTTACTTCTATGCTCGGAGAATTGATAGCGACGATTAATTACATGCATATATACCCTAACATAATTCTATGCTCGAAGAAATTGTGGAGACGATGAATTAAATGCATGTTTACCCGTACCTTCTTCTATAATCGAAGAATTGATAGCGACGATGAAGTACTTACATATATATATCTGGACTTACTTCTATGCTCGAAGAATTGATAGCGATGACGAATTACATGTATATATACCCGACATTACTTCTCTGCTCGAAGAATTGATAGCGACGACAAATTACATGCATATATACCGGACTTACTTCTATGCTTGAAGAATTGATAGCGATGACGAATTACATGCATAAATATACCCGAAATTACTTATATGCTTGAAGAATTGATAGCGACGATGAACTACGTGCATATATACCCGATCTTACTTCTATGATCGAAGAATTGATTTCGACGACAAATTACATGCATATATACCGGACTTACTTCTATGCTTGAAGAATTGATAGCGATGACGAATTACATGCATATATATCCGAAATTACTTCTATGCTTGAAGAATTGATAGCGATGACGAATTACATGCATATTTACCCGAAATTAATTCTATGCTTAAAGAATTGATAGCGACGATGAATTATATGCATATATACCCGTACTTACTTCTATGATCGAAGAATTGGTAGCGATGATGAGTTGTCTGTTATTGTTCTCACTCTTTAGTGTAGCTAAACTTTTATAAACTATACCAGCCACCTGAAACAATAATTTTAATTGGGAAAGCCGTAGATATTATTATAATATTTATTTTTACATGTAAAGTGCAGATAATGATACGATAGAAAAATATTATTTACGCGGACTGGGATACAAATTCTCAGTATCCATACCAAGAAACAGGAAAGTTTTACTTCCCTTTTGTGGTAAAGAAAATAATATAAATATCAGATTATTACATGACAGTTTTCATATCAGTCAATGGTCAGGATATCCTCACATGAGTCGAAGATTCGAGGGATGATAATGTATCTTAAATGAAAAATTAACTTTTTTTGTGTACTGAAATTGTGCATTTTCTTATTTACTTTGCAGTTCTGCCTTTATTCATCATCGTGCTATAATGTATCATCGAGTTGTATGACTTTTGACGTGACTCGATATTTATGCATCCTGCCATCGGGTTTCTGACTTTCGGCGTTCATGGTGCAGATGGGTCTTGAGGTGCGATTCGGACGCAAGAGATTTTTACACTGTTGTTTTAATTTTCTTTATTACTGTATGTACTATCAACTTCAAAAACATTTTTTATCGACGTCTTTGTCAATTTACCATCAACTAATATCAATTTTTTCAGTCTTTATGGACTTCCCCCTTTAAGGTATTTTTGTTTTACTTTTTTAATTTACCTTGGAGTTCGGAATTTTTTTGTTTTACTTTTGTAATCATATATTTCCACTTGCAAAAAAAAAACATTTATAAAAAGGTTCCATTTGAAATAAATATCATTCACAATTACGCAATTTAATAATTATAACCGTATAAACGCATTCATACTGTCTACAGATTTCACACTGATGTTTTGTTTACCAATATAATCTCCTGTACCTGCTTCACGGTAAGTTTCTTAGTATTATCGAAAAATAAGTATCATTTGATAAAATTTTAAAAACTGGCTATTTCTATTTTGGCCCTGGTATTGATCGTCGATCAGCTGTGTTGGCCCTCGACTCTACAAACTCATGGCCAATACAGAACTACCAGTCAATGACACTATTATATCTCTTTGAAATAGGATACTTGAATTTGAAATCACTTCCAAGGCAAAGGAACTCGAAATTGTTCCCTCGGAACAGGATATATTTTCTGATATTTTTTCCACGGAAAATGATACGATAATCTTCTTCCTTTAAGCTTGGTATATCGTTTTGTTTACCGTTTTACGTGCATCTTTCGTTTTGAATGATAAAATATTTTTAATCACTGTTTTACAATTGCAAAACTGTGGAAATGATTCAATACATCGAAAGACTTCCATAAAAATGGATTTAGATTTAATCTCATTGTACTCACATTTGTAAAATTAAGTGAATCCTTCGATATATTCACTAGAACATCAAAGGTATCTGTCTCGTCTTTCTCTAATGAATCAATCTTTATTTCAATGATCGCATATTTACTCGAATCAACTGTGTTACAGGACTACAACATAGGTTTCATTTAATTACATGGCAAATATTGTCCATCACTTAGACATAGGTTTCAAATGTTTAGCATGACAAATGATGTCCATAACTTAAACATAGCTTTCATTTGATTTGCATAGCAAATGTTGTCTACCACTTAAATAGAGATTTCATTTGTCTAGCAAGAAAAATGTTGTCCATCACTTAAACATAGGTTTCATTTGATTAGCATGGTAAAATGTTGTCTCTCACTTAAACATCGTTTTCATTTGATTAGCATGGCAAATGTTGTTCATCACTTAAACATAGGTTTCATATGTCTAGCATGAAAAATGTTGTCCATCAGTTAGGAAAAATGGATAACTACAAACGTTATTAAACATTAAAAAAAAAAAACAGAAATAAAATTTTATTAACAAATCGGCAAGAGACACCAATTAGCCTGTATCACTCATCTGTCAGCTATATAGGGCCTCAATCTGATTACCAGTAATATTAAATCCTGTCATCAAGAGTCCAGGGACCCTGTGTCACTCACTTTGCATCTGTAAACAGGGTCTCAATTTGAGTTCCCGTAATGCTAAATCATGTCATCGATGACTCACCTTGCATCCGTATACAGGAACTACAAATGAGTTCCAGTAATGTTAGATCATATTCTCAAAAGAACTAAGTTTGCTATTAATGATTTCGATGTCATAGATATTCCATCAATGAACTATAAAAAAATCTAATTTGTCGAATAGAATAGAGAATAAAAACGGGTAATGTGTAAGAGAGACAACAACTCGACCAAAGAGCAGAAAGCACAAGTCCTCTTAATGGTCTTTAACGCAGCGGACTTCAGCTTTCGAAATAAACTAATAAATACCAAAACAGAAATATCGTTAACAAAACCATCATCCAATATAAATATTTATATGTTATAATAATAATAATATGAAGTGTCTTAAAGCTTTAATCCTCCCGTCATTCCCACAAAGCGTGACATCAAATATCCTCTAAAAATATTTGGATTTTCTTAAATAATTATTCTCTTTTTTCTTTTTCTTTTTCTTTTCTTTGTTTTTTGGTTTGTTTTTTGTAATTTTTTCTTCTTTTTTTTGTTACTCTTTTTTAAATTCAGTATCACTGGTGGCTATGATTAAAATATATATACCGTAAATCTTAACCAAATAAGTACTGGGTTCATTTGCTTAAAACTTGGAAGGAACACGTGATATTTTTGTCAGCTCCGAAATATTCATGTTTGATAGCAGTAAGAGTCATCGACGACAATTCCGAAAGGTCATTACAAATGTATCATTTAATGAAAGATCAGTAGCATTTTTTCACTGAATGTTTAGGGCTATTGTATATTATAAGCGACAGTAACAGTCTTTTTCCAGAGTTTTCACATCGACAATCATACCTAATTTTCTGTTTTTAAATATCCACAAATAAGCGAAATCTTACCGGACGTAGCTCGAACCTATTGGGTGACCTATAGTTAATTAGTTATACGTCATTTGGTTTCTGGTTGAGAGTTATCTCATAGGCAATCAAACAACATCGTCCGATAAGGAGCTTATAACATAAAACGTACGAAGAAACCAATTACTAGCCGAAGAAATTACCATGACACAGATTGAGCAACTTAAAACTTAAACCATGATTGGATGATAAAATCTGGTGCAGGATAAGAAGTTCTTACTTTACTTATGCCGCCTGTCGTTTTGCAACTGATAATTTAAGATTTCGATAGAGAGTCGCATTCGGTGATATCAAGACAAAGGCAGGCGAACTGGTTTTAGGCTGAGATGATATCTAGACGAGGGCAGAAGGATTTGTTTTAGGCTGAGTTGAATTGAATATATAAGTGGTCATCTTTGATGCATAACGTAAATTAAAGGATTTACTAAATTCTTTGCATTCATTTGAGGCAATTTAGATTGATTGATTGATTGTTGGTTGCTTAACGTCCAGTGGCAAATATTTCATGCATATTCAGGACGAGAACAAGTTCACAATAAATACAATAGGTAGGTTCTGTAATAGATTAAGGGATTAAGGTCGGAGAAATTTAGACTGCCACCGGAAATGAGGGTATATTGGATAGGGACAGAAATTTAGCCTTGCAACAGGTCACCTACGGACCCCTCAAAGAGTTGTTGCAAGGGTTCTTAACGTGCAAAGAGCGTGGCACTCTCTTTACACGAGGCATCGGATTTAACGTCCCCATTCTGACCGGACGTGGCTGCAAATTTGTACATCCCGCACAGCCAAACGGACGCCCCACTTTAGCACGGGTTTTACTGCCGGTCGGAGGAAGACCAATGGTGACCATACTTCTATTCCCCAGTCACCCTTGGGGGTTGGCAATTTAGAAGAACGGCCTATTATGAATAAGAGAACAAGATGGCGATCGAATAGATACGGTTCCTACTTGCAAAAGTAATATTTTTACAGTTAACATTTCAAAATTAGATATCCTTTGAACAGTAAAGATAATACCAAACTGAAACAGGATGTTGAAAGAAATGCAAATATGTCATGATACTGAAAACTCCAAATCAAACAAACATGTACAATAAAAAGTTAAAGAGTGGACGTTGATTAGCTTTTTATAACTTACAATTTCCTTAAGCATCTGTTTAGTTTCTCTACGTCTTCGACTTTGCGTTGATTGTTTTGTTGTATTACTAGACGTAGGCGGTATAGTTGATCCTTGATTTGTTGTATTACTAGACGTTGACGGTATTGTTGATCCTTGATTTGTTGTATTACTAGACGTAGACGGCATAGTTGATCCTTGATTTGTAAAGGGTTCAGATGTTATGAAATCAGTATCAAAATGTCCATTTAATATTTCGCCTGCAAATTCAACCACACGCCATGTAATCCTCGAACTGTGTCCTGATATCTGTAATATAACGTTAACTTACTTTCTCCATTCATAAGACTTGATACTTTTATTTGTTTTAATTTTTTTGTTTGAATATGTGCTTAAAACTATTTTAGTAAAGTTTCATAGTTGGATTTTGTTTTATTATCAATTCTTGAATAAGATTATCAAGAGTAGCTTTAAGCTATATTTTAAGTCTTATGTTCTTCTGATATATTTTATGATGGTATGATACTAAACCCCTAACGGGAGGGATTGTGCTTGATTTTCATATGATGAAGACATAATCTTTCAATCAGTTTAATTGAGGTCTAGAGCTGGCAAGTCAGTAACTGCTAATAGTCCTTTGTTAATTTATGTATCGTTGTCATTTTACTTAGTTTCTTCTGTTACCTATTCTGACATCGGACTCGGACTTCTTTTAAACTGAGTTTTACTGTGCGTATTGCTATGTGTTTGTTTATTCTACATTGGCTAGAGGTATAGGGGAGGGTTGAGATCTCACAAAACATGTTTAACCCCGCCGCATTTTTGCGCCTGTCCCAAGTAAACTGTCACACAAAACTCCTAAACATATAATAGAACTGAAATTAAAAAAAACATACAAGACAAATACAGGCCAGAATGTTTTTTTTAATTTCAGTTCTATTATATGTTTAGGAGTTTTGTGTGACGTCCATTTTCACTGA